CTATTTTTTATTAATTTATCATGCAGACATATTGTCGTAATTAGGTCGTAACCTAATTACTTCAATAAAAAATAATCCGTTTTAAAATAGGTTGTAACTAATTACGACAATATGTCTGCACCTCTACTTTAAGGTGCGGAAAATTTTTTCAATGTGCGTTCTGCCCTTTCCACACATTAATTTTCAACACTGAGTGAAATGTTGGGTTATAAATAAGCTACAGGAAATTTGATTTAATGTTATTTTCTTTTATGCCCGGGCAATTGGATAACCTACCTGTGGGTCGTCTATAATAAAATTCGCTTACCACCCGGATGACCCGGGTGACCCACCCGTGGGTGACCCGTAATAAAAAATCTTTTACCACCCGGGTGACCCGGTTGGCACTTTTCTGGATGGGTCCAATCACTAAATATAAGTACTAGCAGTATATAGCAAAAATATTCGTTCCTAAGTAAAGTTCTTGGAGAAGTGGATTATTTTGTATTAATTTTAACAGTGAATATCTACGTTCTTTTAGAGCTAGAATTCGCTTTATAGCAATTTTTTTGTTAGCAAAACATTACGTTCCAAAAAAGTACTTTAAAGTGTATAAATAAATAAGTTACCCGGGCAATTGATTTATCAGACGAATGTCGTCCTATGAAACATGGACGTTTGCGAATATAAACCTCTAAAAAGGAAATGGCCAATCGGAGAGCATAAAATTTGATTGTTCCGGATCAGCCCGACATGAATTCCGAACACGTGCGAAAGAAGAAAAAAGCGAAAATACTCAAAACCTAGTGTCTAAATCGACCTTGGTACACTAATTAAAAATGTCGGGAACGAAATTTTACATATAAAAAACATCTATTGTTATAGCAAGTAAACTCATGAAACGTTCCCCTTTAGACCAGTTTGCGCGAGTAACACAAACCGAAAAAGGAAATCGAATTTTGTAAATAAAGTAACCCCTTTACGCGGTTGTAATCAAACAAGTATCTTCTTATCACTTCGTTTTTCTTATATTTCTTTTACTTCCTTTTTTCTTGCAATAGTTTTTATTAGTAAACCACCTTTTTTCTTTTTTTTAAAGTTGTATATACGCTGTTGGCACGACTAGATAGTAAGTATAATCACATGTAGATTATATGAAACTAGTAAACCATATTTTTTATTCCTTTGTTTTTCGTGTATGCTTTGGTCATTACCGAATGAAATGATTAATATTCATTCATTCACGATCAAAGAGTTTAATATTTTAAATAAAGTAGATTTACCCACAAACTTGCCCGGCTCTTGATAACTATCAAGAGTCTCGTCGGTACTTATCGTTCAGTTGAAGGTAATAACTGGAGACCTAGTAATTATTAAGGAGTAATTACTTAAGATTCTCCGCCGATGTCTAGTTGGTGTTATTGTTCTTCTGGATGGTATACTGGTGACCTAGTGATTATAAAAGAGTAATTGCTTATGATTCACCGCCGACGAACTTAGTGTCACCTGAAGCATCAACCTCCTCGTGGTGTGACCGGATAACCAACTAATGGATGCTTAACCCGTTTCTTTTTTATTTCTTTTTTTTTTTTAATCAAAATAATATATAAAATAGTTTATTAACTTTTTATTTTTTTTATTTTTATCAGGGTCGAAATTCCTACGGCATACCGGAAATTTATACAAGGTTGTGCTTTAGAATATTTTTTTAAAGTTTATTTTTGTATTATGTAATTAGTTTTTATAACTTAGAGAACCTTTTATTTAATGTATATATGTTCAAAAATCAAATAAAAAAAAGTTTTTTACTTGCTTAACATTAAATAAAATAAGTATATAATTGAAAATGTTGAAACTAAAGTCTTGACGAATATAAATATGAAAGCTCAAATTATAATATATTTAGCTGTTAGGGAAAAAAGTACGTACTTAATTGAATAAAAAAAAAATCGTGTTATCAAATGATTTCTTTTTATGACCTGCACAATTTACATTTCTTTGTGAAAACACATATCGAAAATAGTGCTCTAAGTTTTCATTTTTAATTTGGTTTTTTTTTTTTTAACAATTTTTAGTTGATTCAAATTGCATAATAACGATCGGTACGTACTCCTGCTATCGAGTGTCAATGATCTGTGTCTTAATGACATATCTCTGATTGGATGGAATTTCCTTGTCACGTTGTCACGGTATGAAATGACCCGCAAAAGTCCGTTAAGATAAATTTTATTACAGATAAAACCTTAAACTCATTTCTTGCATTGTCTTTTAGATTAACCGCAGTACAGTTTCATAACAGTCCATGTGGTTTTCTTATTATATATAAAAGGAAATATGACGCAAAACTAATAAAAAATCCATATATATGTTACGAGTCAAATTGGTTTTTAGGTCAAGTTAAACTTGACCTGGGTCAAATTGATCCTTAGCAGAATTTTACGGTTAGGGCGGGCCGGAATTTTTTAATTGATCAATTTGACCCGGTCAAGTTTAACATGACCTAAAAACCAATTTGACCCGTAACATATATACGAATAAACAAGCCAATAAGATCAAATATCTTAAATATTATGCTACATCATGAATAACGAATTCATATCCATTGGATGGGACCTAAAATTTATACAAGTAGAAAATTAATAATTATTTGATTCTATCTAAAATTTATAATGGTTTACGACTTACGTGCTAAGTTGTGGCTTTTGACTATATTTTCCTGCAAGAATCTCCCTAATACTATTTAATAGTTGTTGGTATGTTTGGTATTGGTTGCTCCTCAGTCTATCAAGAGAGAAAATTAAAACATCAATAATAATCCCAAAAAATAATAATAATCAAAAATAAATGAATGAATGAATAAAAATCAATTATCAAGTAACACTAACGCTGTAATAAAGGCGTATGACATGGCACCCGTGTTTTGCCCGGCTTCATTAGCATCTGCAGATGTTTGAGAGTCCTTACACCTAATTTCATATTAGTGATGAGATTGTGTTTATTAGATAATTAGATAAAATCGTAGAAACAACACTTACCCACTAAACATAATAACATCGGCGTAACTTAATTTGTTCACCCTATTTTGCTCTGCTATCTTGTTTCCAGACATCACTTTCTTTCCAAATGACATTATACTCGTTTTTATACCATTTAAATCACCCCTTAAATAAGACATTCCAGCACTCTTAATAGTATTCCCACCATCGGCAAGAACATTATACTCTTTAACTACACCTTGCGTATTATATATGTATGGTAAATCAAGCGCAGTTCCCGAATGGCACGAATCAAATATAGCGGTTAATCTTACACCTATATCAGTTAAAACAAATATGTGAATAACATAAATAAATAAATTCTCGTAAATAAAAAAAGGTCGAATAGAAAAAGTTTTTACCAGGTTGAAGTGGTCTCACCATTATAGCATGCATCTCCTAAAATAAACAAAAAAATAATTTTAATAACGATATTAACATACTATATATATATTTTTTTCTGATTACAAAAAAAAAGAAAACACACGTCATCAATTATTTGACCACTTTTTTCATGATCAAGCGGAAGAATGGTTTCATCAAATCCATCATCCTCATCGCCGTCAAGATCTTCTACCTGACCACCATGTCCACTATAATGGAAAAAAAGCCTAACAATAAAAAGTATTAGAAAAATTGGAAATTATGAAATATATATATATATATATATTAATTACACACGAATCATTTGGTTTTGCATCTTGTACAAGCCAATTCATTGCAGCTATAATATTTCCTCTAAGAGGACGCCTTGTAGGATCTTTCTGATCATCCGTTAAGATCAACATATTAGCTTCACTGAATCCATATAATTCAATCAAGAACCTTTTTACGTTTTGAACGTCATTAATACAGCCTATTCAAAAATAAGATAAATTTGAATTGTTGAAATAGTTAGAAGTAAACAATTCAAAGTTCAATTACCTCTCAATTCAAATTGAGAATCAAAATAATTAATTCCAATTAACAAAGCCTTTTTGCGTCCTGTACAATTTGATAATACATAATTTGAAGGGGGAGGTAAATTCGGATTTTGATACATTACGTAGCCTTGGGACGGATATTGTTGAGGTTGGTTATAGGCTGTACCAGGCGATTGTTGATATGGTGGTGGTTGTGAAGGAGCATTATTGTATTGTTGATTTGGAGGTGGTTGTGAGGGAGCATTATTGTATTGTTGATATGGAGGTGGTTGTGAAGGAGCATTATAACGTTGATTTGGAGGTGGTTGCGAAGGTGGACTATAGTATTGTTGATTTGGTGGAGGTGGTTCCCATTGTGAAATTCCAGTAGCTTGATCTGTGATAAACAGTTATTAAGGTACAAAGTTTCGCTTAAATAGTCAGTCAAAACACTATAAAGTCTTATATAATACCGATACATACTAACAAAATAATACTTTTGACTAGCATGATCATACAGAGATATCCATCCAGGTGGTAGAGGCTGAAGTGCCGGTTGTTGAGGCGGAGGTGCTTGATAACCTGGATAACCAGAATTATTCGGTTTTTTACCGTATTGCTGTTCGTATTTTCGTCCAGGATACATGTTTTAAGTAACAAACTCATTAAAGACCCTTAAAGACCCATTTTAAAAGGTAGAATTGGGTACGCTGCTAATCTACTAATTTCCGATTCTGGCCAATCAAATTAAAATCAGCAGTATGAAGCATAGAAATAGAATTTCTAAATATCGGGCGATTTGATTTTTTCAAAGGGACTTTTTTCGATAAACTGTTACACAAAATTTTTGCTACGTATTAAGTAACAAACACTTAATTAATGAGAGAGCCTTTTTACGTAGTCTCGTGTGAGATTATACCGATACGTAGAAGGAAATAAATAATTAGATACGTACTAAGCTGTTTTTTGAAATGTTCGACCATGATTGGCTAATTTTGGGGTCAAACCAAATCGGCGCATATCAGACGTCCGATTTGTCACGCAGATCACGGGGGTAAATTTTTTTGAGTGATTGACACTTATATGATAGGCCTATTTTACATAGTAAATTGCAACGGTTGCCTCCTTTCAATCACTTATTTCAGGGGTTTCATAAAAGGAAACTGCACTTACAAGACAAAGTGCGACTGTGCAGAAAGTTAAATTCTATGTTGTTTTTATGTTTAAAGTGCAATAAAAACAAAAACTGAGAATAATCTGGTTTCCAAAGATTGTTCGTCGTTCTAATGGCATATACTAGTATAATACTAGCAGTATAATAAAGGCTTGTATTTCACTGATTTTAAAGTCTTTTTCGGCTTTTCTAACTACAATAACTCATCCAATACCAGAGTGCCTATATTTTCTAGTTTTTAAAGTAGATTACAGAGTGTTTTTTTTTCGGTAAAATGACCCAATTCAAGAGGAAAGCTCCAATTTTTACAAACTTTCATCCAAGTTATTGCAGAGATCTCTTCCAAAGTGCACCCTTCATAAATGCACCTTCTATGTAAATATCTTTAAGTGCATGGTATAGTTTGGTCCAGCTTATCTTTGCACTATATATTTTGCATTCTACAAATACAAACCTTCTCTAAGTACACATTTTTAAAAATTTTTACTATGGGGTTGAGGTGTACATTTAGGGAGGTTTTTCTGTAACAAGTGTGAATTTATTGATCTTATTGCACAATTAAGTATTATTAATGCCATTCGTTATTTCATTTAATTTAGTTTATGAATATAAGTCCTATCAATAAAATGTTAGTTGAGTTTAATTGTTTAGACTTAACTTTAAAAAATATTCGAATTTGTAATTTATCAAAAAAATTTTATTAAATAAAAAATTATCAATTATTCAATAATAAAAATAAGCTATCCACTTTCTAGTATTTGTAATTGACTTAAATTTATTTAAAATATGTATTTCAAATTTTTTGATATCCAAACTTGTTGTTAGGTTGACAGGATATCATGACTTTTCTTATATGCTTAGCTAAACCAATTGTCTAAAAATTAAATCGGCTAACACAAAACTAACTACAATAATTAGTCTTTAAATTAAAATCTACAAATAAAATAAACTAAATATCTACACCATGATATTATTGTAACTATTTACACTTTCGCTAGGATAATATGAGTATCGCCAAGCAAAAATCAAGAAGTTTAAAAATAGAATAATTATACAAAAGAATGCAAGCTTCTAATCGATCTGATTAAAATAATCAATTGTACTGTTTTTTGATCACGTACTAATATCATTTAAAGCCCATATCCATTGTCCAATGAATTCTATTTTTAAACTTCTTGGTTTTCACTTGGCAGCACTTATTTTTTGATGTCTTGTCAATGTTGATCATGCCGACTTTAATTGCTCTGGTCCCCAAGTCTAAAAATAAAATAAATAGCAAGCTAAATATCCACACCATGATCATTGTAATTATTTGCATTCTTGCTGAGATATATGAATATCACCAAGCGAAAACCAAGAAGCCTAAAAATAGAATTGTCTATATAGTGAAATACGAGCCATATTCTATTATCCAAAGAATTCTATTTTTAGACTTTTTTGTTTTCACTTGACAATATTTATTTTTTTTGATAAGACTTGTCAACGTCAATCATGCTGAGTCTAAGAATAAATATTTCAAAAAAATTAATATAAATATCACTTGAATTTCTACCTGGCCTATTTGAATTTGCTAGTTATTTATCCACACACCAAGCTATTAGTATAATTACACTCGATTTAAAAAATAACACCAAATTTGATTAAATTATTTTTAAAAACTAAAATGATGGAAGAAATCTTATGTGAAACTCAATTTGATCTTGAAAAGATTTATGACGACTTGAGTGAAGAATTGAATCTCGCTAATGAATAAGAAAAGCTACATGAGGATGTTCTCAAATTTGACCGTCAATCATTTGAACAAATGCAGAAAATAGTAAACGCATCAATTGAAGTTGACTATGAAGACTATGAATCTCTTGAAAGTGATGATAAGTTGGAAATACAAGAAATATTTGAGGAGAAAATTGAAATACCAGTACCTGCTGCTAGTAAAAATACCAAATATACA